GATGTGTCTTTTATTTCTCCATAGCATATTGCAAACTTGTTGGTAATGGTAGGACGGTTTCATCGGCAATTCGTTGTCGGGTATAACTATTTCGGAACGGTCTGTCTTTATATTTATCGTCGTTCACACAAATTAAGCCCCCCTCTCCCCCCTCTTGGGACACGTGACCGGCGTGGCCAGAGGACCGGAGGAGGTGTGGGGGGGAGGTAAGGGGGAGCTAGAAATTCCCGCTCCTCACGTGTCATAGGGAGAGGGTGGCGCGCGCGCGGCAGCCGCGTCAGGCGTGGCAGGGCAGGGGAGGTAGGGGGGGGGGGGCGTAAAACTCCCGCTCCGTCTGCTCGGCGCAACGCCGCAATCCCTGCCGGCGCTTCGGCCGCTTTTGCACCTCTCGGCGCCGAGAATGCTTTCACATGCCCAACTCATAGGAAATGTTTATGTGTCTTCGTGTGCTTTTTTACAGAACTACAGGCTACAACTTGACAGACTATACAGGCGAATAGCGACAGTTCCCAGCCGGTTTTCGTTTTAATATTGGCTTTAAGGTTAGCGACCTTGCGGAAGACAAGCGCACTCCAAATAGCAACGTCTGGCGTACTTCAGGCGTACCGACGTAGCGACCGTTTGCCTCCTTCACGAAACAACAAAACGCCGTGCGTATATCGGTGCCGTGCAGTCTACACAAGAGTGGCCCAGGCGAGCGGGAGAGCCCCGCCCCCTTCTCGTCATCCCTCCACGAAGCAGCGACCAGCAGAAAAAGTCCACGCAAAGCCGCCGCAAAGAGAGGCGGAGCCAAAGAGTGTACGTAAATCGACAGGCACCTTTCCTTCTTCCTCGTCACTCGTATTGAAGCAGCCGTACGAACTAAAAGCGCCATTGCGAAGCGAGCGTCGACTCAACTTCCCCGGAAATGTGCGGAGAAGTCACATGACCCACCCTTCCTCGACGTCACCCCACAAACCCTCATCCAACCCGTGACCACACAGGGGCCTTATGCCTCGCCAAACTCATGAACTCACCGACCTCATGAACTTACTGAACTTACGCTCCTAACACAACTCATGAACTCACCGTACTCACAAACTCACGCCCCTCACCGACCTCATGCACTCACCGACCTCATAAACTGACGCCTCTCACCGAACTTATGAACTCACTGAACTCCTGAGCTCACTGAGCTCATAAACTCACTGAACTGATGAACTCACCAATCTCATAAACTCACGCCCCTCACAAAACTCATGAACTCATCATACTCACAAACTCACAGCCCTCACCGAGCTCGTGCACTCCAAAGCCTCACAAACTCATGCCCCTCACCGAACTCGTGAACTCATCAAACTCACAAACTCACGCCGTTCTCCGAACTCGTGCACTCACCGACCTCACAAACTCACGCCCCTCACCGAACTCGTGAACTCATCAAACTCACATACTTACGCCCCTCTCCGAACTCGTGCACTCACCGACCTCACAAACTCACGCCCCTCACCGAACTCATTAACTCATCAAACTCGGATACGCCCCTCTCCGAACTCGTGCACTCACCGACCTCACAAACTCACGCCCCTCACCGAACTCATTAACTCATCAAACTCAGATACGCCCCTCTCCGAACTCGTGCACTCACCGACCTCACAAACTCACGCCCCTCACCGAACTCGTGGACTCATCAAACTCACAAACTCACGCCCCTCTCCGAACTCCTGCTCTCACCGACCTCACAAACTCACGCCTAACCGAACTCGTGCACTCACCGACCTCATAAACGCACGCCCTGACCGACCTCATGAACTCACTGAACTCACTGAACACATAAACTCACCGAACTCATGAACGCACCAAACTCACGCCCCTCACTCAACCTCAAACTCCTGAGTTTTCGAGACTTATGAAATCGTTCCCCATCACCTCACTCCCGATCGGTGAGGGTGAGTGAGGTAAGTGATAGAGTGCACACGAAGGAGTTTTGTCGAGGTATGCATCACGTATAAGTCACCGGAAGATTTATGTATCGAATGTCGCCGTACCAGGCTATCTCCTAGGACTGGTAGCCACCATACCTAGGCAAACCTCACTCATGACGGACCTCACTCACCTTTAATCACCCTCAACTTCACATGTGAGGTGAGGGTGAGTGAGTTTCTGAAGCAGAAAAATTCATGAGTGTCAGGGTGATTGAGGGTCGCGATGGCTGCGAGGACCGTGAGTGCGTGAGGGCGGTGAGTGCGTGAGGGGTGTGAGGGCCATGAGCGCGTGAGGGGTGTGAGGGCCATGAGCGCGTGAGGGCCGTGAGGGCGGTGAGTGGCGTGAGGGCCATGAGTGCGAGAGGGGTATGGGGGCCGTGAGGGCGGTGAGTGCGTGAGGGGGGTGAGGGCGGTAAGCGTGAGTGGCATGAGTGCGTGAGGGGCGTGAGGGTGTGAGGGTCATGAGTGCGTGAGGGGCGTGAGGGCGGTGAGTGCGTGAGAACCCCTTCAGACGGAGCAACTTTCTCAGTAATTTTGGTGTTGCTGGCGGGTTGTTCCCTAGCTTTCCCTAGATCGACAAGAATTGCTGAGATCCGGTCCGGCTCGAAACAAGCGAGCAAATCGGAGCAATTCAAAGACGTTTGAGGCGGCTGCATCCAATCAGGGACGCGGTATTTTCACGTGATACCTCGATGCCGGTTATGATGACAACAAAATACTTAGTTCTGGTTTGAAATTGATCTTTTTTGGAAATAAACTGTTTCAGAAAGATGCATTAGTATTCTCAACGAGATTTAAATGCATAAAAACACGTTTATAGCGCGTAATTGTGTGTCTAAATAGTGCAAGAAAAATAAACTTTCATGATGATGACGCAAATTGCAGCAATTTGTTGCTGCGTGTGAACGTGGGCGGCCTGTGTTGCTGGTGTTGCGACGTCGAGTTTCTGGGCGAAATTGCCCCATCGGAAGCGGGCCTGAGTGGCTTGTGGGCCACGAGTGCATGAGGGGCGTGAGGACCGTGAGGTCGTGAGGACCGTGAGGGCGGTGAGTGCGTGAGGGGCGCGAGGGCTATGAGTGCGTGAGGGCCATGAGTGCGTTAGGGGCGTGAGGGGTGTGAGGGCCGTGAGGGCGGTGAGGGGCGTGAGGACGGTGAGTGGCGTGAGGGCCATGAGTGCGTGAGGGGCATGAGGGGTATGAGTGCGTGAGGGCGGTGGGGGGCGTGAGGGCCATGAGAGCGTGAGGGCCGTGAGGGGCGTGAGGGCCATGAGGGCGGTGAGTGCGTGAGGGCCATGAGGTTCAGTGGGGGTGAGTGAAGGACTGAAGGTGAGTGTGACTGTGAGGATGAGAGTGAGTGAGGGGCTGAAGGTGAGTGTAGCTGTGAGGGTGAGGGGTGAGTGAGGGGCTTCGGGTGAGTGTGGCTGTAAGGGTGACGGTGAGTGAGGGCGACTTAAAATGTCGACCTCTGACAGCCACGCTTAACATGGAGCACAGATGTCCCGGTGAATTGTGATGTAAGCAGACGTAAGCTTTCCTAATCTAACGTAATGTTAGAAAACGGGGTTGTGTGAACCACCCTTTAGAATTATATTGTTCGCGTTGCGTATTTCAAAACACGGAAATTATTTTGGCACAGAAATAATACAACGAATTCGGGAGAAGGAACAACGAAGGTGTATATTTTTATTATTATTTTCAAATGCCACCAAGCAGCGCCGTAACCAGGGGGGGAGGGGTTAGGGGGTTCTGACCCCCCCCCCCCCCCCGAAATTTTTTTCTGGGTACGGCCCTGGTCGGTGCACTGGCAGCCAGCCGATTTCAATCTCCACCTCTGCGCACGCGCAGTGGCGCCGGTCGGCTACCGGGTACCTAACCGGGACCGGTTCTCCGGCTTGCTGTAACTCTCCATTATATGCCACCGATGCACATGATCCATTGGCGAAAATAAGACAATAGACACTTTCAAAATGGCCGGCGTTGTCCCCGAAACCCCCCCCCCCCCCTCCCCCCGAAATTTTTTTCTGGGTATGGCCCTGCCACCAAGCACCGACGTACTCGACATGTGGTGGCGGTGCAAAGAAATTCGCTTGTTTCGCCGCGGTGTGCAGAAAACCAAACCTTGGCATTCAAGGAATGTTTTTTAAAGCAACCTGTCACCGGGAAATCGGATCGGATCGCGCCGAATTTAGAGGTCAAGGAGAAAGTGCTCATTCCATGAACCAAAAAGCCGACCATACGGGGAGCTTGGCTCTACTTTCCCAGGGTCCAGTCACTTTACTGACGACCTGTGAATTCTTCCTATAGTGAGCATTAGTGAGCATTTGGCCAATCAAACGTGCCGACATCAGCGACGTTTTTGGTCGTGCCTGTTCCCATAGGCATTTTTCTAAATTACCCAAGCGTCAAAGAAAATGCTGGAACGTATAGGTACACGCGCGGCACGTGCTAGCATCTGCGGCAGTAACTTTTCTAAAACAAAAACTTAAAACAAGCTTACACACGCGTTCGTAACTTTATTTACTTCAAAATCTTTCATGCTGGGATGGCGTGCGCGTGAGGCGTGTGTACCGATATTCCCAGCATTCATTTTGAAGCTTGTGTAATTTAGCGATAGTATAGCGATAGGTCTATAGCACCGTGGTCTATAGGAGACGAGATTGCCGAAATCGAACACCTCCGACTTTGTGAATCGAAGGCGACGTACGAGGACCAACTTCTCCGTTTTCGGCTGTATGCTGTCTAATATGTTTTCCTTTTCTGGTTTCGGGAAGCTGCGTAATGCCGCCGTTAGAGCTTCAGGTCTGGCTCTGAACAGAGAGGAAAGACTGTATTTTTAAAAGTGTCTATAAACTGAAAGACACTCTGCAGACGACACACGAAGCTTGTGTAACAGATTACCATTGTCAACCATATCAAAATAAATGACAATGATTTCACAAGTTTTCCGATGTAATTCGTTCCTGGGATGTTGAGATGAAATCTCACTAATGGACATAAATTGTGTTGTTCACAAACCCAACAACAATTTCCTACTCACTCGAGAATTTGTCCGTGGGCCAGTGGCCATGCTTGAATCTCCAGCCTAAAAGATAAAAAGAGAAAACGATTTAAGCTGGGTCACATTTTACTGGCTTTATGGCTTTATTAGAAGACGCTCCGTAGTTCATATACAGTGATGTCTCGTTAATATGGACACCTCCGTTCCCGTAAAAAATCGTCCATAATGTGAGTTGTCCATAATAACGAGACAAAAATGCATGTATTTTCCCAGTTTGTCCCCTAAAGTGGTGTTCATATAACGGGGCATACATATTGCCACGCGCACGCTCGGCGACGCGTGGTAATATAACTGCAAAGTATATTGAACCATGGCTGTAAAGCATTTTGAACAGTGTTCTGAGAAGCATGGACACGACTGCATGGTCATAAAAATCTTTTTCCAAACTCTTATTTCCTTTATTTCGTTATTAACTGTCGACAGAACTGTAAAAAGGCCGAGCAGGCTAACATTAGATTGATAACATAAAAGAAACAATAAACACAAGGAGCACGAGCGTGGTCGAGCCCAATACCTTCTCATACCTAAGTGTCTGGACACGCTTCACATCTACACGATTGTTGTCCATCGCAGAGGTCGGCATTTTAGGTCGCCCTCACTCACCCTCACCCTACAGCCACACTCACCCTCAACCCCTCACTCACCCTCACCCTCACAGCTACACTCACACTCAGCCCCTCACTCACCCTCATCCTCACAGTCACACTCACCTTCAGCCCTTCACTCACCCTCACTGAACCTCACGCCCCTCACGCACTCATACCTCTCACGCCCCTCACGCACTCATGGCCCTCATGCCACTCACCGTCCTCACGCCCCTCACGCACTTATGGGCCTCACGACACTCATGGCCCTCACGCCACTCACCGCCTTCATGCCCCTCACGCACTCATGGCCCTCACGCCCCTCACGCCCCTCACGCACTCATGGCCCTCACGCCACTCACCGCCCTCACCGCCCTCACGCTCTCATACCCCTCACGCCCCTCACGCACTCATGGCCCTCACACCCTTCACGCACTCACCGCCCTCACGCACTCATGGCCCTCACGCCACTCAGGCCCGCTTCAGACGGAGCAATTTCACCCAGCAACTTGTCGTCGCAACACCAGCAACACGGGCCGCCCGCGTTCACACGCAGCACCCAACTGCTCCAATTTGCCATCCTTATCATGAGATTTTATTTTTCTTGCACTGTTTAGACAAATAATTGCGCGCTATAAACGTGTTTTATGCATTTGAATCTCGTTGAGAATACTAATGCATCTTTTTGAAACGGTTTATTTCCGAAAACGATCAATTTCAAACCAGAACCAAGTCTTTTGTTGTCATCACCGGCAGGAGGTATCACGCGAAAATATCGCGTCCCTGATTGGATGCAGCCGCTTCAAACGTCTTCGAATTGCTCCGAATTGCACGCTTGTATTGCCGCGCGCAAGGCTGAGAAAGCAACGCTCGGTCACGGTCCTCCGGAAAGTTCCCGTTTATTCATGTACCGCACGTAACTTCTATCATTTATCCCTGCTTTTGTTTTCTAGAAAGTGCGTGTTCATTCTCGCCCCGATCACGCGACGCTCGAACCGCTTTCGCCGAATCTTCGAGATAGCGGCGCACTCTAGATAAGAGGCCGCCCGCGACCTTGTCGAGTCAGTCTCGCCCTAGCGCTCGATCCTGCGGTTTCGCCGACATCGACGCCCGCGACGCTCTGCTGTTTTCTTTTGTACCCTTTTATTTTTGGCACAAGTTCGCCACATTAAACGTTTATTTCTTCTTGTTCATTTTCTGTTTTCTTTTGGTCACCACCCGTGACATTTTGGTGGAGGTGCGGGGTACCGCATGCCCGTGCAGCGTTCCCCTCCAAGGGACCGCAGTGCAAGTCCGATTCCCGGCTCGGTGAGAAGACCACTCACCGCAGAACCTGAAATTCGGACCAGCCGCCGCACCAAGGGAGAGGATCCTGAGTACGGTTTGCTCCTGGACAAGCCCAAGCCGCAGAAGACGACGATGGCCAACCAGTCGCAAGCCCCTGCCGCTTCTCCCGTCGTCTACATGCCCGTCGCACCGCGGACGGCTGCCCCCTTCCACGGTGAACTCTACGAAGACGTCGAAGACTGGATTGACCAGTATGAACGCGTTGCCCGCCACAATGGCTGGACCGACGAGCAACGCCTGCACAATGTCTACTTCTCGCTTGAGGGAACCGCCAAGCACTGGTACGAGAACCATGAGTCCTCTTTGACGTCGTGGGACATCTTCAAGACCAACCTGAAGGCTACGTTCGTCAACCACCACCGCCGAGAGAGAGCCGAGGACCTACTGCGAACCAGGACCCAGGGCCCCAATGAAAGCGTCACGAGCTTTGTGGAAGACGCGCTCCGCCTGAGCTCCCGCGCCGATCCTCAGGCCACCGAGGGAAAGAAGCTGCGCATTTTGATGCGGGGCGTGAAGGACGACATCTTCGGAGGCCTCGTCCGCAACCCGCCGGCAACCGTCGACGCCTTCGTCAGCGAGGCGACAAACATCGAGCGCGCCCTCCAAGCGCGCGCTTCCCACTACCAGCGGCAGCCAAGCGTCACTGCAACCGCGCTCCTTAGCGGTGAAAACGTGCCTGGTACGGACATCCGCGAAATTATCCGGGAGGTTGTCCGGGAGGAACTGCGGAGGTTGCTGCCAACCACCAGCCGTCCGCCAACCATTTCCATCGCCGAGGCTGTCCGAGAAGAAGCGCATCGCGCGCTCCAACCAGAGGTTCCCGTCACCAGGGTGGCACCGGAGGAACCGACGTTGAGCTACGCCGCCATGGCCCGACGACCGCCGCAAGCTGCCCGCCAAGCCACGGCGCCACCCCGAAGAGACGCCCCAACGCCGCAGTACCCCCGACGGCAGGAAGATCAGGCGCACGTTCCCCCAGAGCGACCTGCGCCGAGGAAGACAGACGTCTGGAGGACGGCCGACCGACGCCCGCTGTGTTACCACTGTGGGGAAGCTGACCATGTGTACCGCCGATGCCCATACCGACGACTCGGGCTGCGCGGATTCCACCCAAGCGACCCGCGCCCCCGGTATGGTGAACGCCCTCGGGAGATCGACGAGTACCTGCGACGACCCCAGTCCCCCGAGCCTGCGTCACACCGAGAGTTCCGGTCGCCGTCACCGCGACGTCCAGCTTCGCCGATGCACCGACCCCGACGTGAAAGCCTGTCACCCCTCGCTCCTCGCCGGGGAAACTAGGCGCGGCAACCCCTGGAGGTGGAGTTGCCGAAGACGACCGACGCCAAGATCCTCCACGAACGTCGGAGGGCCCCCACTCGAACGCTACCAGAGACCGAAACGACGCCCCTGCAGCGGTGTCCAATAACCTGAATGTCGTCATTGACGGCTACGACGCATCAGCACTCGTGGACACCGGAGCGGACTACTCGGTCTTGAGTGGAAGGCTCCCCCGCCGCCTTCGCAAAGTCATGACGCCGTGGGATGGACCCCAAATACGAACCGCAGGGGGACATCTCATCACGCCCGTCGGAAGGTGCACTGCTCGAGTCGAGATTCACGGCGAGACGTGTCCGGTAAAGTTCGTCGTTCTGCAAGACTGTTCGAGGGACGTTATTCTCGGAATGGACTTTCTCTGCGAGTATGGCGCCGTCATCGACCTCGGAACAAACCGGCTGACGCTTCGAAAACCTGCTCCACCAGCGGAGGAACCCCAAGCGACGTCACCCACGGTCCGAGTCCTCGCAAACCACGTAAACCTACCACCGCGGTCGAGTGTTTTCGTACTGGTCGGGATCGATGAAGCTTCCGGTGGCGAAGTTCTTCTCGAGGGAAGCCTCCAATTGCTACTGGGAAGAGGCATAGGCGTCGCAAGGGGAGTAGCTGAACTTCAGGATGGGCGGACTGTGGCCCTCGTGACGAACTTCCGAAACGAAACGCAACACCTCACGAAAGGTGCAGCCGTGGGCCACGTCGAGAAACTCCGAGACCCCGCCGAAATCACCGCGATTACTGACGAATCCTCGCCGCCCCAGCAAGACAGTACGTCGCCAACACAGCTCGACATTGACCCTAAGCTTCCGGACCCTAAACGGCGTCAGCTGGTTAACCTCCTCGCCGAATACCGCGACTGCTTTGCGACGTCGTCGAAGGTGCGCCAGACCGCGGTTGCCAAGCACCGCATCGTTACCGAGGACGACGCGCGCCCTGTGCATCGATCGCCGTACAGAGTCTCCGCTAAGGAAAGGGAGGTGATCCATCAGCAAGTCCAAGAGATGCTGAATGACGACATAATCCAACCTTCAAGCAGTCCATGGGCCTCCCCAGTCGTACTGGTTAAGAAGAAGGACGGAACGCTTAGGTTCTGCGTGGACTACCGGCAGCTGAACGCGGTGACGAAGAAAGACGTCTATCCACTCCCCCGCATCGACGACACGTTAGACCGGCTGTGCCACTCCCGATACTTTTCATCGATGGACCTGAAGAGCGGCTACTGGCAGATCGAAGTCGACGAGCGGGACCGAGAGAAGACAGCTTTCGTGACACCGGATGGGCTGTACGAGTTCAAGGTGATGCCCTTCGGACTGTGCACGGCGCCAGCAACTTTCCAGCGTGTCATGGACACCGTACTGGCAGAACTGAAGTGGCAGAGCTGTCTCGTCTACCTCGACGACGTCGTTGTGTTTTCCAGCGACTTCGACGAGCACCTGCGACGACTGCGAGCTGTTCTCCAAGCCATACGGACCGCCGGACTCACCCTGAAGCCGTCAAAGTGTCGGTTCGCTTATGACGAGCTGAAGTTCCTACGTCACGTGGTCAGTAACGAAGGCGTTCGCCCCGACCCAGAGAAGACTCGCGCCGTCGCAGCATTTCCAGCGCCGGCAGACAAGAAGGCCGTGCGAAGGTTCCTTGGGCTATGTGCTTACTATCGGCGCTTCGTTCGAGATTTCGCGAGGATTTCCGCACCGCTCACAAGCCTCACGAAGGACGCCGAGAAGTTCGAATGGGCCGAGGAGCAGCAGCAGGCATTCGACGAGCTGAAGCGACGACTGCAGGCGCCTCCCGTTCTTGGACATTTCGACCAGGATGCGGAAACCGAGATTCACACGGACGCAAGTAACGCAGGACTTGGCGCGGTACTGGTTCAAGTACAAGAAGGCACCGAGCGAGTCATCGCCTACGCAAGTCGGACATTGTCCAAGGCGGAGCGAAATTACTCCACGACTGAAAAAGAATGCCTTGCGGTCGTCTGGGCGATCACGAAGTTTCGTCCGTACTTATACGGAAGCCCGTTCCGCATAGTCACGGACCACCATTCGCTCTGCTGGCTTGCGAACATCAAGGACCCGTCAGGACGCCTTGCGCGATGGAGTCTCCGACTACAAGAGTTCAACATGACCGTAGTCTTCAAGTCAGGCCGCAAGCACAGCGACGCCGACTGCCTGTCCAGAGCTCCCGTCGAAACACCTTCCGACAGCAGCGACGACGATGACGACGAGTGTTTCCTGGGCGCAGTGAACAGCGACGACATGGCCCGACGTCAGCGAGACGATCCTGAGCTGCGCGCACTAATAGAGCACCTGGAAGGGCGTGGGAGTGCCATACCACGTGTTTTTTCACGAGCCATGCCGACCTTCGCCATTAGACAAGGTGTACTCTACAAAGAGAACTTTGGGAACAACAACTCGACGTGGCTGCTGGTAATCCCGATCGACCTTCGGGAGGAGATCTTCCATGCCTGCCACGACGACCCGACGTCCGGACACCTTGGTTACAGCCGGACACTTGCCCGTATTCGTGATAAGTATTACTGGCCAAAGCTCCCCAAAACCGTCCACCTATACACACGATCATGCCATGAATGCCAGCGACGAAAGAAGCCTCCGACGAAGCCGGCCGGACTCTTGCAGTCCATTCCTCCGCCAACGGCACCCTTCCAACAGATCGGAATGGATCTACTTGGCCCTTTTCCGCCGTCGACGTCGGGAAATCGCTGGATCATCGTCGCCACAGATTATCTTACGCGGTACGCCGAAACGAAAGCCCTTCCTTCCGGAACTGCTGTGGAAGTTGCCAAGTTTTTCATTGAATCCATCGTCCTCCGGCACGGCGCTCCTGAAGTCCTGATCTCAGACCGTGGATCATCGTTCATGGCCCAGCTGACACAAGAAGTCCTTCGTCTCAGCCACACCAGCCATCGTCACACTACGGCGTACTACCCTCAGACCAACGGGCTGACGGAAAGACTCAATAAGACCATCGCCGACATGATTTCCATGTACGTCGACGTGGAGCACAAGACATGGGACCAGGTGTTGCCGTATGTCACCTTTGCCTACAATACGGCCGTGCAAGAAACCACCGGCGTTACACCCTTTCAACTGGTTCATGGTCGCAAAGTGACGACAATGCTGGACGCAATGTTACCCCACGAACCGGCTGTCGACGGAAGCGACGACGCCCAGGTGGTTGCCCAACGGGCAGAAGAAGTCCGTCAGCTCGCCAGACTCCGGATTCAAGCCCAACAGCGTATCGACACTGGCCGCTACAACCTTCGTCGCCGGGACGTCCACCTCCAGCCGGGAGACAGGGTGTGGGTCTGGACACCGATCCGCCGCCGTGGTCTCAGCGAGAAACTCCTGAAGCGCTACTTTGGACCCTACAAAGTGCTTCGTCGACTCGGGGATCTGAACTACGAGGTGATGCCCGACGGAACACGAACATCGTCACGCCGCCCACCACGACCTGAGGTCGTCCACGTCGTGCGCCTGAAGCCGTACTACGCTCGATAGGACTGTGGACCTTTTGTGCTCCAAAAGACTCTTTAGTTTATCGTTCTTTTTTATTTTGATTTGTTTTACACTGCATCGGGGCGATGCAGTTTTAAAGGGGGGAGTAATGCCGCGCGCAAGGCTGAGAAAGCAACGCTCGGTCACGGTCCTCCCGAAAGTTCCCGTTTATTCATGTACCGCACGTAACTTCTATCATTTATCCCTGCTTTTGTTTTCTAGAAAGTGCGTGTTCATTCTCGCCCCGATCACGCGACGCTCGAACCGCTTTCGCCGAATCTTCGAGATAGCGGCGCACTTTAGATAAGAGGCCGCCCGCGACCTTGTCGAGTCAGTCTCGCCCTAGCGCTCGATCCTGCGGTTTCGCCGACATCGACGCCCGCGACGCTCTGCTGTTTTCTTTTGTACCCTTTTATTTTTGGCACAAGTTCGCCACATTAAACGTTTATTTCTTCTTGTTCATTTTCTGTTTTCTTTTGGTCACCACCCGTGACAGTATTGAGCAGGAACGATCTCAGCAATTCGTGTCGATCTAGGGAAAGCTAGGGAACAACCTGCCAGCAACACCAAAATTGTTGAGAAAGTTCTCCGTCCGAAAGGGGCCTCACACACTCACCGCCCTCACGCCCCTCACACACTCATGGCCCTCACACCCCTCACGCACTCACCGCCCTCACGCACTCATACCCCTCACGCCCCTCGCGGCCCTCATGCCACTCACACACTTACCGCCCTCACGCCCTTCATGCACTCATGGCCCTCACACCCCTCACGCACTCACCGCCCTCACATGCCCTCACGGTCCTCACTGCCCTCACGGCCCTCACTCACCCTCACGCTCATGAATTTTCCTGGTTTGGAAATTCACTCACCCTCACCTCATTTGTGAAGATGAGGGTGAGTGAGGGTGAGTGAGGGCCCTCATGAGTGAGGTTTGCCGAGGTATGGTCCATCGTGGCACCGGCAGATCAACAACAGCCTCCGAGACTCCAGCAGTTGGGATAAGCTCGAGCGGGCGGTTTCAAGAGCAAGTCAGTTCAACCACCGCTCAGCTTACTGCTATTTGTAAACCCCTCAAATTTATATTTAACTTGAATGCCCCACATACTTCTCATAATCACAAAATCTAAAACGGCTCAACGACTTTCTATACCAGGATCTCTCGGCGAGACTGCCATCGACCCCAGATATAACTAACAGACCTTTCGCACCTTGGATTCAAAGTATAGTTTCAGTAGGTGCCCTCACATGTGGTATTATTTGAAAACACAAGGGCGGATCAGTTGGCTGGACTCGCACATAGTTTACTACGTTCATTCCCAAGCCCTATGGATCTCAAGGGACCACCCCGAGCCATCAGATGGGGTGTTAGTGACACCCTTCCACCACTTTCGCAGCACACCAGCCATGCCTAACTAAAAATATAAAGCAAAACCAAAATCGAGGTTTTTTTTTTTTGCGCTTTTGATGTAGGAGGGCATTCACACGAGACTTTCGCTCAAAGATATGAGTTGTTGACTATCTTGAATGCATCAAATGCTCCGATGATGATACCTCTGCCCACGTCCTGCTATATATACACTGTGCGGAGTACTCGGACGCCCGTCAGGTCCTGCTTGCCAAGCTCTCAGAGAATAGGAATTGGGAATCCTTTGGAAAAGACCATAATCATTTCTTCTGGCTCCATTCGCCGCCACCGGAAAATTCAGAAGTATACCTCTCGAGTCAGTCGGCCGCGCTGATATATATAGACTGTAGAAGATTCCCTCTCCTCTCAATAAGACTTATTTCATTTCTCCTCTCTGCCTACTCTTTCTTTTTCTCATTTTGAATTCTTTCGAGCTTTACCTTTCTGTTTCTCTCATTTCCTTTCTTTATTTTTTCCAAGAAAAAACAGTTCGGCAACCCCGTCAGAACAAACATCCCCCTGGTATAGTAACACTGTTACGCTGGGAATGCTTTACTACTCTAGTTTCTGTTCATTGAACTATTATTTTAAACGTAACTTTAATGTGTCTCACCTCTAGCCATCTCCAGCTTTTCGAACCACTCGGGGTCGTCTTTATCTATTTGAAAAAAGGGCAAGGTTAAATATGATGAAATATTGCTTCTAGATTGAAGTCAATAAAAATTAAAAGAACAGTACAGATGTGACAACTAAGTTCTTTAACATAATTGCACGATAATAAAATTAAAACTCTCCCTCCGTTCCTCCAAGACTTAAGAAACATTTTGCCGTTATTACAAGGTTTCTTCACACAAGCAAGCTACTGTGTCGGGACCTCGCATTTATTTTCTTACTGCGTAACTCGGCTCCACAATGTGACGCCGCGACACAACGTGACCTGGAGGGGCCAGACACATGTCAAGTTGTCACGCGATCCGTTGTCAATTTTTGTTTTGTTTTGTACTCATAGCTAAAAGTACGCCTCTTTGTATATATATAGGTATATTTGCTTTTATTCCTCTATATTAATGCACGTCTAACTGTTGTCGAATCTTGGAGATGGGGCGTCGTCAAGCTACACTTGTTGCAGTTTTTTTTCCCAGCCGCCATCTTTCTTGTGACATAAAATAAAGCATTGTTCAATTGATTCATTCATTGATACCAGTTACGTGACCACGTAACGACGTGACTCATAACGACGTCACGTTAAATTCAGTCGGACGTCAGCCCTCTCAATTCAGATGAACCTATGGCGGCTTGCTGGGAACAATTGACGCTTTTCAAAACCCCATCAAGCTACATTGCGGCCGCCATTGCTCGGGCACAAAACCTATGATTGGATCCGAGTCCTCACCGAAAGCAGACGCAGCGCAATTGAGACTCCGCTAGCTAAAATGTACTAATTTGATTTCGAACAAGCCGGTCTTGTTCTTCGTTTTTTTGCCCTTATCGGGATTATCAAAAGCTGCCTCGCATGTATGCATCTATCGTCATAGTTATCGTGTTTGCAATCAATATATCAATATTAAGTTCTCACAGTTTGGGATGTCATTGGACCTTGAGGCGATGTTTGGCTTTTGAATGGCACGTACGGCGTGAGGCATTGAGCCGCCCTGCGACCGAGCCATCGCAACCAGTGGCTCGATAGAGTGCGTTGCGTTCAGCAGTCCACTCTAACAGGTAAAGGCGAAACAGTAAAGCGACCCAATTAATTAATTATTTAATGTTTTAAACGCTAGATGCATTGCCTCCCTTATCAGCGTACCATTTTATAAAATCCGTCAGATTGCTCCAAGGATATCGCGGCAAAGTGCCTACGGTCATGGTACAACCGCTCCGAAAGTAGTCTCCCGGGTAGCTGTTTGGTAAAGAAAGCAAAATGACTTTGTTTTAGTCAGAAATGAAAGAGTTAAGCCGCGTTCACACTGCTAATACACAGAACAAAACAGTCTGCAGACACAATCTTAGGCGTGTCCACAAACATTGTCTTCATATTACGCAAAACAGTGCCTTGTATGGCAGTCCTGTAACATTGGTCATACAAAAACGGTCTGCAGGTATGTTCGAAGCATACGTATATTTATGAAACAAGCACTCTTCGAACATGCTTCAGGCGTGACCGTTGCAGATAATTTTGTCATCATGTATGCAGATAACAACGTCTCTTTTTTTTGATGTATGATCAGTGTGACCTCGGCTTGACATTTTAAAGGATAATAATATTAAATATTTCTACGCTATCGTAGACCCTTTTCAAATACTTATCAAGCGACAGTGTGGTATGCCACTGCTTGGACACGAAGTGTATGATTGGATTCGAGTCTTCGACGAACGCTGGCGCAGCTCTCGTGTCGAATTTGTGCTAAGAATACGTGCCCAAATAATAGCGGACTCGGATGATTCTTCTGCGGCTACCCGATGGCGCCCGCTTTTGAAAAGGGAGTAGTGTAACCACCAAGTTCACTAGATCGAAATACCAATACGCCGAGAAAGAACCAAAGAAAAGTATTTTGGAACAAGTATGCGGCACTGAACTAAAAGGTTATAGCTTATCCTAGAGCCACTAAATTACGCTTAGGGTATCGGCACTCCGTTCCCCGATTCGCTAGTGGGCGCTGCCATCGTGGTGCTTAGTGAAGAGCAGACGCAACTGTCGGTCGTCACGATTAAAAAATGCGACTTCCTAAGCCTTAGGTATACGGTGCTAGAATGCGCGGGTGATATAGTTTTGCTCTGTCGCGAACTGATTTAACGTGTCTGGAGGACGGAAAAGCGTTTTTTGCGATTTCAGATAAAGCTTCAGATAACTTGCCACCAAGATGGCTGGAGTGTCGTTAGAGCCAGCCAGACCAGTGGCCCACATCGTGTCTTCGACCGACAGGGCGCTCACGCTGCTCGGTTACAAGCTCGACCGCAAGCTGGGAGAGTTAAAAGCCCGCTTTCGCGAAGACCACCGTCCGGCCAAAATCGACGTCAACCCCTGGAGCCCCGCCAAAGCAGTGCCGGACTCCTTGCGTCGCTGGAAATTCGGCCGGCTCGTCTGCGAGCTGGGCACGCTGGGAGAACTTGCCAGGCGCATGGAGAGCGGCCTGCTATAAGTCACCAGTCCACGGCGACCCCGCGAAGACCACCGTCGCGAAGACCGCTGCTGGGCCTAACGCTGTTCACCCTTTTCACCATCCAAGCATCATCATCATCATCCGACATGCATCCAGTCAATATGCCCTCATCACCCGCAACATAAACCCGCACCCTAGACCAGAAGCTCAATTTTAACATCGGCATGCATCTTGTATATAAGATCAGCCCATAATCACGCTCATAAAGGGGTATTCACACGAGGGAGAAATCCCGGGGACTTCTCCCCGGCACGCGCATCCCACGACGAAAACGTCAGGCTTTGCGATGTGCAAAAGCCTCGCGTTTTCATCTCGTGATGCGCGCGTGCCGGGGAGAAATCCTCGTGTGAATACCCCTTAACTGTACTTCGTCTCACCCTACAATGGACAAAAGGCAAAAGCTACAAACCGCCAGATCCAATCCCGAGACACTTCGAAATTGTGTAATATTTCACTTCCATGCAGGTTTCGGTGCCCCTTCTCGGATCACTAATGGGGATGGGCGGACAATGGTTTGAATCGAAAAGCACTGAGTGACTCAACAATTATACATTGCATAGAACGCCACGACTTACAGGCTCTTTGCAGTGTTGAAGCTATAAAAACGATCCAGCCCTTTTGGATTCGGAGCATTATTCATCCACTCCTAATCAATATTAAACGTGCCATGGCTTAGTGTGGAACGTGATTGGACCCGGGGGGGGGGGGGGGGGGGGGGGCGGCACGCGAGGCTTTTGTCGGGACAAAGTATAGATCGTAGGACAGGATAAAGTATAGACGCGGCACCACGGGCCTCTTCAGTACGGGCTGTCGCCTTTCCGTGGTGCCGTGGCTCCCTGAGCCATTAAATACTACTATTGCTATTACCTTTAACCTAAGGCGTAGCTGATGTAGCGGCTCTAGGCTAGCCTTTGGAGTATATGGCCTAGCGAGAGAAATGGCTCGGCATACGCTCACTGAGAATGGTCTTTTTACACGTAAAAGCCGCGCCAAACAATTATTTTCGGAAGCTTTTTTTTTTTCTTTTTTAGAGGCAAGTGCCCTAATTGCATACGACAGTGAAGGATCATATTTACGGTCACTACAGTTGCTGACAGCTGAAAAAACACATGGCGGGACGAGCACCGAGCATCTCATTATCGCTTCGCAGCCAATGAGAGTGCCGAATTAGAGAATAAGAACGCTGGAGGACCAATCAGAAGGCAAGAAGCGGGAACTTAAAAGGCCATGCCCCGCTTTTCTTAAGCATTCACTGGTTATACTCCGACAGCTTGAGAAAAAAAGAAGAGGTAATAATGTTGTACGTATGTTCAGAAAGCGGGAAGTTGCCCCAGTGTGCATCTGGGGAATCGGCTGTAGACGAGAAATTTAGCCAGTGCAGTACCGCGACTAGCCTGAGGTCTGCAACGAGCATCACGTAGTAGTGATGCGCGACCGCACGCCGGTATGATCGGTACGACACTCGTCCAGAGCGAAACGGGCAGAGTAGAGCCCACTAAATGAGCTGCGCTTAGAGTATCGGCACTCTGTTCCGCGACACCATTGTGGGCGCCGCCGTTATGGTTCGTATGCAGAGCCGACGCAACTGCCGGTCGTCATGATTCAAAAGTGCGACTTCCTCAGCATTAAATTTTGGTGTTAGGAAGCTTATGTAATATTGCTTTGCTAGCTGTGTCGCGAACTGTCCAAACATTTCTGGAGGGCGGAAAAGTGTTTCCTGTGATATCAGATAAAGCTTCAGATAACTGCCAACCATGATTTTAAGCCACAATATGGGCTAAATAAGCTATTTCGAAGCGTCGCTTATTTAGTGGCTCTAGGGCAGGGGTGGGAATCGAATCCAGCGCGAACTTTCGCTTCACGCGCTCTGAGCTTCAATGAGTTAAAGGTATCCATAAAGTTATTTTTCGGCTACTTCTTCCTTAGCTGTGATCCCCAACTCAAAGCGAAATAAGATATCACGTGCTCGTGCTGTCTTGGGCACCCGATGTCATGACTCCAAGCTCCCACTATTGTGAATTAGAACTATAGTCCGTTGCAACTCAAGAAGGTAGGGCGAGGGAAAGAAAGGCCAGGGTGGAGGAAGCAGAGGGAACACTGGAGAGGAGAGAGGGAAACCTCCTCCTCTCTTTAGCGTTCCGTCTGCTTCCCACTTCCCGGCCTTCCTTTCCCTCGCCCTACTTTCTTGAGTGGAAAAAGCAGCGGCGGTGCCCCCTCGGCCGTGTGAAGCCCTACGGTGCTGAAAGCCGCGTGTGGCGCTGGTGTCAAAATCCCGATGACCTCGTGCTTCTCATGCTGTGTGCTAAAACGAAAACGACAAGAAAAAACGGGAGCGACTGGAACAGGCTTACGGCTCGCGGTTGTCATGTGTGAGCAAGGCTTGGCAGTGTTCGGTAAAATAAAGCCCCTTGATAAAAGCATTTTTAACAAGTACCGCCAACCATTGTTGTGGAAGCGCTCGAGACACGTGCCATGAGCGGGTGCTCCGCCGCCATTCGCTTTCAACGCCCGCTCATTTCAGTGCTGCGCCGCCATTTGCTTCCAAGGGCCGCTCGAGACATGGTCCTCGTGCACTCGCGCATTTGACGCTACTTGCAAGACGAGCGCAAACACATCAAGGGGCTTTACGGTAAAAGAGCACTATACGCCACCTGGTAGGTGCGACACGATCTGTCTTACGCGGAGCATGGCCTCCGAGATTTTTCGCGCTCTGGCAGCGCTTCTCAGTCCATTGCATCCGCCAGTGGAGACTGCTACTGTGAAGCAGTTGGTGGAGCTTGCAACTAGATCAAAGTAAAGCTCCTCTACCCTGGAAAAAGTGGCGCCATCCATTGTTGTGGAAAGGCTCGAGACAGGTGCCGCGCGCCACTTCTGGGAAGAATATGGCGTCTGAAATCTAGCTCAGTGCTAGAGCTGCGTTCTGCCACCAAGAGCTGCACGTTGCACGTGCCTCCTGCATCGACGCACCTTGCGCTATACTTTTGAAACATGAAGGGGCGTGAAACCAAAGAATACAAAGAAATAGCCGCAATGTGTCATCATCCCCATTCTTGTCGGTCTACGGAACTTAGAAGCAGTGCGAAACGAGCTTCCCGCCTGCCGTCGCAACACACAGACCTTTGGCAAGGAAGAAGTCCGAAACTTGAAGGTTCCTATTTCCGAAGCGAGAAGGGTGTAGTACAAATGTCAGCACAGATCAGTGAAGTTCAAAAAGCTGTCATCATGCATGACGACACAAATATTGTTATGCCTGTCCTGCCGGCCCAGGCACTATCCGCGGAGGAAAAATATAGATTCGCACTAAATTTCCCATTCTGAGCTATCATCCAGCGAAAGAGCTCAAAGACCGAAGCAGCAAATAAAAATGAGAAATCAACGGAGATCGACTGACCGCTCTCTATTGTGATGGTGAGGATAGTGAAAATGCAAGCTTCATGCCCCGGACTCACACTTGACAGCGTGCTTTGAGGCGATTCTGTTTCCGTTTCTGGCTCGGTTATAAGCGCAGCATGCGGAGATCTAGAGAACGGACTCGTCTCGCTCTTTCTGCTGGGAAGCCTAGCGTTTGGACAGGCCAGAGCAGAGTGTACGAAAAATCTCGGAGGATGATGGTCTTATCCGCGTCAGCTGCTGTGCCAGGATCCCGACAGGAAAGAGCATGGCACTTCTATGACGTCATCAGTCCAGGGGGCTATGCGCGGAGGCCCCCTGGACTAATGATAATAAGCGATGATAAGTGCCGTCACGGCACTCACTGGCTACCAACGCGAATCGAAATATTCGTCGACAGATTGATTATGGACGAGCGCACACGTCCGAGTGACAAAGTGCTCGCGTCCAGCGCTTGAGTTAGGGTCGACTGAAGTGCTTGGACACCGCGGATGGATCGCTGTGAAAAGCGGAGAGCTTTCGAAGGAAGAAAGAAACACCCAGCTCTCGCGTTTCGGTACACATATTTTCAATTTTTGTACCGAAAAAGCAGGCTTGTTGTCTTCTACACTTGTCTACTAGTTTTCTTCGGGCAACTAAAGGTTGTGCCATTAGCAATATCCAAATGTCTAGTAAATTATTTCTGCCCCCCCCCCTTAATAAGTGTAATTTCATAGTCCCTTTAACACATTCCGCCACCTATCTCCCCAGCGATTAGTGGCGGGCACAAAGGCTGACTGCCTTTGCGTCTACCCTCTCTCTCCCTGCAATCAGAGAGAACGACAGCCTCGTCTGCTTCTCTCGTTCGAATGCCGGACGCCGGCGCTCGGCGTTCGAACGCGTTCGAACTCCGAGTGGAGACAAAGGCAGCCAGCACTTGCGTCTCCCCGCGATCCTTCGAAACAGAGCTCGGCAGTCTGACGTCTTGGCACGCCCTCACATCCTCCCCTCCCTCGCTTTATATCCTCCTACATCGGCGCCCATGTCTGGAACATGCGATCGAAACCCTAAGACCATCGACATTATCTAACGTTAGAAAAAATCATCCAAGAGCTCGGCCCTTTTAGTAGATAGCGTCAAGAATGTAATTACCCTTTGCTCGATCCTTTTCCCGTTTCGATTCAAAGACACGTGAAGTTCATCGCCAATGACTGAACTTTTCGAGAGATGCAGGGTAAAATGCTCGTCGACGCGGACTATTGTCTCGTCGTCCAGCGACCTTTCCTCGATGACCACGGGATACACGATCCGGGCTCCATTGACGGCTGCAGAGAAAGTTTCGACATTTTGAGAAAGGTTTGGTCAAATTCATCGGCTACGCGTTTGCGAAAGCAGTTCTATAGAGACTTTTTCGAAACAGCCAACCGACGATTGAATGGAGTTTGCCTCTCGCATTTGAAACGTGGATCCATACGTGTACCGCTTGCTGGAACGTAGACACCGCAACAGTGCGTTCACGAGAGGGAAAACAAAAACAAAGGAACAATAACGCTGTGAATACACGTTCGCTTTAAGCTGCAGTCACAATCCTTATACATCATAAGAAAAGTCATCATACATACATCATGTATGTATGATGAGTCATCATCATACATCATGTCTGTAGACATGATGACAAAATTTTCCGCGGACATTCCTCAAGCATGTTAGAAGCTCTCTTGCTTTACATTCTCACACGAGCGCAGGCAGTTTTTATGTAACCAATAGGACCGTGATACACAAAAATTAACACGCATCGAACAGTGTCTGCTAAGGAAAGTTTTTTTTTATGATATATTTGCCGTGTGATTGTGTTTTTAAGTTATTTGCTAGATAAAAAAAAAAATTGCCGGGCCAGGGGATTGAGATTAAAGTGTAATTAAATACGACCACATTAAAAGCATTCTCATAACGTTCTGAACTATGCGGCCCCATACACACATTCACGTTTGAACTCGTTTGAGTGCGGAGCGGCGTCTTTGTGGGAGGAAGTGCTTACTAGTAGCGCCACGGTTTTAATTTTGTAAGGCCCGCGATCACAGAGCTTGCTCTTCTGGAGCAAAAGGAATACATTTTGCGAATTTTTGGGGATAAAAAATGACTCTAGGTATTTTTATTGATTTTTGCTAAAGCTATTGATTACTTAAACCACAACTTGCGGATAAAAAAAACTAGAAATGTATGGGTATCGCGGGAAAGCGTCATCTCTCATTGCGTAAAATCTTGATTATTGACAACAATACGTCCACATCAATGGTTAGTACCACTTTGGCATTCAACCAGTAGTATCTCGTTTCGGAAGAAAGTATGTTAGGCCTTTTCTTGTTTAATTTATACATTAACTACATTGTAAAATTGAATGCAGATGCTAAATATGTCATATATGTTGATAATACCAGCCTGTTCTTCAAGCCGGGTTCACACTGTCCATACATCATACAAAAGACAGTCTGCAAACACGAGTAACCGCAATATCCCTGGTTTGAATGCCGCGTGCCAAGTTTCCTCCTTGAACTCATTGGCATGCCGCATTCGAAGCACGGACCTCGCGATGACTCGCGTTCGAATCTCTATGCAGACTGTATTTTGTATGATGTATAAGCAGTGTGACCCCGTGTTTACAGGTCACTGCCGTAACAAACTAGCAAGCAGAGTGGATAACACGGCAGCAGATAAGTGTCTGCACGGGTCATTCGAATGCCCTAAAAATGTGTGGAAACAAAATTGAGGCTCTTCCATTTAGACAGCAGGTGTCTCCTGGAATCGAGTACCTGAAGGGATCAAAGGACGAGGTTGCGGACGCGCTCTCTCGGGTACCCCAGAATAGGGGTTGGCAGGAGGTGAGGAAACCGGGGGGAAGACAAGGAGCGCGGTTAAGATGTAAGAAAGTCGTCTTCGGAGGCAGAGGAGAGCCACGGCATGTTCGCTGGAAGGCAGGATAACGACTGGCAGAAGGGAAAGCAGCCAGGATTCATTGCAGATTTAGGATATAGGCTTGGGGTGGCGCGGTAAGCAAGTAAGCGCTTGTCGAAGCGCGGGGTGCAGGTGGGTTTTTATCCGTGGTTGTCGGAAAGATTACGGGAATGGCAGTCTACACCAGGAACACTGGCGGGCGAGATTGTCAGCGGGTGTCGGGTAAACTGGCGGAAATTGCGGTTGACACCGGGAACGCTGGCAGGCGAGTTAATGAGCACAATGATTTGTAACTGCTGGGCCAAGACGGCTAGTTGCTTCGCGTCACTCAAACAATCGACGAAGGGCAGAGGGACGACTGTCCTTTGAGGGGCGTCGTTCCAAGAAAGCTACGAAATGATTTATATGAATCTTTCTCGACTCCACTCTGGCCGGTCGTGGCAGTGACAGCAAGACTTTTAATAAGTTATGTCGCGTCACGACCTGGCCAGGAATGAGGCGGTAGACATTTAGGTGGCTTGCAGCTGTCCAGCTTGCCTTGAGGCGTGAACGGTTTAAACGGGCTTGCTCGCTTAGCTGCCGCCCCCTCCGACGACTGATCAGTTCCTAGAGATCGTATACACGTAGACGAAACGGGACGCTGACGGTTACATGAAGTAGCAAATGGTACATGTAGCCGTTGCGGAAGGCGGGTATTGTAGAGGGCGTGTAGGCGCAGTGAGCTACGGGGTGCCCTCTAGGGTGTGCGTAAAAAGGGTGTGCGTAAATAAACAAGGGCTTTTGCCGTCCGAGCACTCAGAGCGTCAGCTGTGTCAGTATTTCCTCCGCAGCCCTCGGCTTTGACCGCCCCCTCGGTCGCCTCGGCTTGAAGCCGCCCACTACATGGTATCAGAAGTGGGATGCCCTGTTTCCGCGGTTCGACATGGCTGCTAAGGACGCTCCGGTTCCTGCCCTTGCTGCCGCCAGTCTCCGGAGTCCGCCCCCGCTCTCCTTCGACGATGCCGGCGAGTGGCTTCCAGCAATTCGAAGACTACGCCTTCGCCACCGGCATGCGCGTGGCGCCGGACGAGACAGGAGTTAGGACCTTCCTCTATTGCATGGGTCCGCGGGCACGCATCGTCCTCAGTTCGCTCATGTCCAACGAAGAGGCCTACAAGTCTTACACAGAAGTCACCCGCCGGCTCAGCAGCTACTTCGTGCACCCCATGAACGATGTGTACGAGAGCTCCAGGCTCCACAAGCGGACGCAACAGCAAGGCGAGACCATCGACAGCTTCTTCATTGCCCTTCGGAACATGGTGCGCAAGTGTAACTATCCGTCACCAGCCGTTGAAGACCGTCTTGTTCGCGACCGTTCCGTCGGGGGTTTGGCGGATTCTCGTCTTTCGGACAAGTTGTGCCGCACCCCGAGCCTCTCCCTGGACGACGCACTGGTGCAAGCCCGTCAGCACGAAGATGCCGAGCGAGAGAAGGAACGCCTGTCCTTCACAGCTGGTCAACCGACAGCGCACGTGGACGTGGCGACTTCCCGTAAACTCGTGCAGCGCGCACACGGACGGGACCTCAGACGGGACTCTGGCAACTCTGGCAACTCTGCGTCACGTGACAGGCCTGAAAGTTCTCGAGCCAGCAACGTTCGAGAAGCTTGTAGAAGCAGCCAAAGTGCGCAGTGCCTCTTCTGTGGTCACGAGTATCACTGACGGTCGGACTGCCCAGCTGCGAAAGCGGTCTGTAACCACTGCAAGAAGCGAGGCCACGTTTCGTCAGTGTGTCGCTCAAAGAAGCGCCTCGGTTCCGTGGAGCTCCACTCCGTTGCGGCGGTGGCTCGGAACGGGCGGTACGTTGAGGTCTAGGTCAACGGGCACCCTCTCGTCTTCAAGGTGGACCCTGGCGCCGACGTTTCGGCGGTTCCGACCTTGTTCCCTGGCTGCCCTGTCGTCCTCGACAAGCCACGCGCGAGGAACTTTTCAGACCGGGGAAACAACCCCTGAAAGTTCTCGGCAACTTCTCTGCTGCGCTGTCTTGGCGAGGCAGACATGTCAACGAGCGCCTCTACGTCGTTGCTGAACAAGAGCTGCCCCCTCTCGGCTATCCCGCTATCGTCGCCCTTGGCGTTGTCAAGTTTGTCGGCGCAGTCACAGCGGCCCGGACCGCTGCTCTACCGGACACACCACCTCAGAAAGTCTCTCCAGCCCTTTTCGCCGGCCTGGGCACGTTTTCGGACGAGTACACGATCCGTATCAAGCCGGACGCGGTACCTTATTCCCTCAGCACAGCCCGGCGTATCCCGATACTCCTACGAGACGCAGTCAAGAAGGAGGTCGACACGATGGAGCAAGAGGGCGTGATCCGGCGCGTCGACAAACCGACGGACTGGTGTGCCGGCCTTGTCGTCGTACCGAAGCCAGCGGGGGGTTACCGCCTTTGCGTCGACTTGACCAAGCTCAATCAAGTTGTTCTGCGTGAGCACCACGTACTCCCGACCGTCGACCAAACCCTCGGACTTCTCGGCGATGCCTGCGTTTTTTCGAAGTTGGGCGCAACTGCGTCCCAAGTACGTTTGGCCCGGGACTCCCAGAACTATACGACCTTCATCACTCCGTTTGGCAGGTACTGCTATTGCCGCCTCCCATTTGGCATTACGTCGGCCCCGGAATATTTCCAGCGTCAGATGTCTCACCTGCTGGAAGGGTTGACCGGCACCGTTAACCTCATGGACGACATCCTCGTGTTTGGTCTCACGACGGAAGAGCACAACCAGCGCCTCCAAGCAGTCCTCGGTCGCCTCCAACAAGCGGGGGTCACTCTCAATGCCGCCAAGTGCAGTTTCGGCGTGTCAAGCGTAAGGTTTCTCGGTGTCGTCGTCGGAGCCAACGGCATTGCTCCTGATCAAGACAAGGTGGCGGCCATTCAGTGTATCCCAGCTCCTCGGGGCCAAGGGTGTCCAACGCTTTCTGGGTATGCTCAACCATGTGGGTCGCTTCCTCCCGGATCTTTCTCAGACGACTGGGCCGATCCGGAGCCTCCTGAACAAAACTGCAGCCTGGACGTGGGGACCAGCGCGAGCCTCAGCGTTTGAAAGCTTAAGGCTATGCTGTCCTCGGACACCTGCCTCGCAAGGTACAACCCTGCACTCCCGACGACAGTCTCTGCAGATGCCAGTTCCTTCGGGCTGGGTACAGTGCTTCTTCAAGACCAGCCATCAGGGGATCGCACCAGTGGCATATGCCTCCCGGGCACTGACAGAAACGGAACAAAGGTACAGCCAGATCGAAAAAGAGGCACTGGCTGCCACCTGTGCCATTAACCGCTTCGACGAGTTTCTGCGGCGCCTTCGTTTCACCCTGGAGACTGACCATCAGCCGTTGTTCAA